GTCCTGGACCTGGTGGCTTGCTTTCTCACTTTCTCTCTCTGTCTTTCTGGTCAAATAAAAAAAAAATGAATAAATAAATAAAAATAAAATAATAATTCTTTAAAAAATAATATTACTTTATTTATTTAAAAATTTTATTTATTATTATTTAATATGCTATAGGGCACATGCACTCACCCAAAAGAGAGAACGAGAGAGAAAGTGAGAAAGCAAGCCTCCAGGCTCGGGACTCTAACAGTGTTTGGACATGTGGGAGTCCAGTGCCTTAACCATCATGCCACCTGCTAGCCCAATTACTGTTATTTTTTAATTCACCAGAAGAAGCAGAGAGGAAGGGAAAGTGAGAAAGCAAGCCACCAGGTCTGGGATTCAAACTGCAGTCAGCCATGTGGGAATCCAGTACCTTAACCACCATGCCACCTGCTGGTCCCCAGTTTTTTTCTTGGGGGGGAGCAAGGCGAAGGGTGGATTTTTGCCACAGGCAGCATGTACTTGCCAGAGAGATAGAGAGAGACAGCGGGACAGAAAGCGAGAAATCACCCCCTGGGTGGATGGCCGCACTGCAATCCCTTCTCTTCCATTCTTCTGTCTGGATTTGGGGCATGCACACACATGTGCCCGGTGTGAGTTTTAATTGCCGGGTCCAGGACTGGAACCATGGTCGACTACATGGGAGTCCAGAGACGTAATCATTTATAACATCTGCTGGTTCCCGAGAGTTTACCAAGAATATATCGAGTAAAGGAGAAGGGCAGGTTTGGGACTTGACTTCCCAGCCGTGGAGTTTTCATCTCTTAACAGTAGCAGCTTCTTTTTTGTCTTTTGTAAGAGAGATTTTTCCTATAAGGCATGTGTGTTCACCTGAGAGACAGAGAGAGACAGAAAGCAAGAACTCATCCCCCAGGGGGGATGGCCACGCCGCAATCCCTTCTCCTCCATTCTTCTCCCGGGATCTTGGGCACGCATGCACACGCGCCCGACGTGAGTTTAAGCTGCTGGGTCCAGGATTTGAACCATGGTTGACTACATGGGAGTCCAGTGATGTAACCATTACACCATCTGCTGGTCCAATAGTAGCAGCTTCTATTTCCATTCAAGCCTGGTCCTCTGTGGGATTGGGTGTTTGGGGCAAAAGACCATGAAGCTGGTTCTGGGGAGTCTATTCTGCTGGTTGGGGCTGGGGAGGGACTCGAGGGGACCAAGGCCCAGCCTAGCTCTGTCCCTTTCTCTGACCAGGCCAAGTGGAAGTGCCTGGCCTCAGAAGGCAGTGCCCGTCTGGACATGTTCGAGCACATCAGCCTCATGACCCTGGACAGTCTGCAGAAATGCGTCTTCAGCTTTGACAGCAACTGTCAGGAGTGAGTTCTTGCCCGGGGCCTGGGAGCTTGACCGTGGGCCTCAGGGAACAGGTAGGGGAAGGGAGGAATGACAAGGGCAGTCAGAGGAGACTTCCTGGAAGAGGTGGATGGGAACTCGGTATTGAAGAGAACATGGAGTTCTTCCATGTAGGTGGGATTCTTTTTTTTTTTTTAAGAAATTTTTGCTATAGGGCACATGCATTCGCTGGAGAGACAGAGACAAAAAATGAGAAAT